ACCTTTCTTACTCACGGCACAGGAACTTTACGCAGCACTTACAATTATGACGCGTACCTGACAACAGGTTCTCGGACCAGTGACTTCAAGTTTGTGACATCTTACAATGACAACACTCTGCCTGCAGACCAGACTCTGAGGAAAAGTCCATCAGACTTTGTTGATGCTTTTGGAGACTGTGACGGTTCTCCTGAGGTAGGAATGTTTGTCACTGCATTGCTTGAATTATTTTCAACCTAATGATCCAGACAATATCTGAAATGAATCAATTCGTGTTTTTCTTTCTTGTGGTTTTGTCGTTTCTAACGACCAATTTAGATGTGATATATGTATATGAATAAATTGAAGTCACTCAGTGATAACGCATTCTCGAATGCATAGCTATTCTTTTCTGTTGAATGAAGAGTTCATAGAAAAATTCTAAAGCCATCGAATGCACATTGTTCAGTTTCGTTCTTCTCTTCAGTAGAGGTAGTTTAACTTTTTTTCTGTGTTTTCTTTAAAACTGGTTCATCAGTTACTCTGGCATCATTGTTTCTGCCTTCGTCTGTTGAGTAGAACTGCAGCTTGTTGTATGTGACTCTGTCCTTGGTGCTGAACCCAGTGGTTGCTCTTGTGATTTATTTGGAGGAGAAAGCTTTGTGTTTTGTTTTTTTAAATCAGTTAAACGTTTTAGATTACAGTTGAAAATTCTAATTTGTTTTTGAAGACAGTGTTCCTCATCTTGCAGTAACAATCTGGTATAGTTCACACACACACACACGCACACACACACACACACACACACACACACACACACACACACACACACACACCCCTACCCCTCTATATTGTTTACTGTTCATACTATCATATATCTTTAGATTTGTTCATGTGAGTTCATTGATCTTTGCACAAGCTTCATAGATCTCCAAAGGTAGGAGAGATTGACACTTTTAGTTAGATTTTCTTTCAGATGTTATTCTAAGGCTCTCAGCTGTGGCCTTTCTGTGCTGAGTTTGTATGGTTTCTCTGTGTCTGCGTGGATTTTCACCCAGTGTTTCAGCTTTGTCCCACAGTCCAAAGACATGCATGATTCTATACTGGCCATAGGTGCGAGTGTGAGTGTGTATGGTTGTCTGCCTCTCTGTATTGGCCCTGTGTGGGCCTGGTGACCTGTCCAGGGTGCATCCTGCCCCCTCATACAGCAAGAGGCATTCATAAGATGGAAATTTTAAGCAGTGAAATTATTTGCGGAATGAAAGATTATGAACAGTTTTGGCAGTGTCTGACAGGGTCACAGTCTTGCACTCTCAAAGCTTGTAGTATTGAGCAATTTAATGGCATGTGTGATATACAATTCCAGGTTATAATTTGTTCTTTCAGACAATAAGAGCTTTTTAAAATGCTGTTCTTCTGAATGCCTTATCAGAATGAAAACAACTTGGATCAATCTAGAAAAATTGATTTCAGTTCAGCAGGATATTCTTTTACCCGATTATTGTTTCCATGTTCAGTTTGACGAAGAAATTGCGTTATATCCGGGCACAATTGTCAGATGTAGTTTGTTTAAAAACTTTTACGTGTAAGGGGCTCTTCTATGGAATGACCAGTCTGTAGAAATAATGGTGGGTTGGATTTTTTTTTCTGTTATGTTTTGCATTAATCATAATAGGAATGAGAGTCAATGCCACATCGCA